AGGCAATGAGATGAGTTCCCAAATATCATTGTTACTCATGAACTTTATCGTTTTATGCATGGAATCAATTCACTCTTTAGAATTATTCATTTACATTGCTTGATGAAAGTTGATTGATCAGTTCTTTTTTTATCAATCCATGTCATCCTTATTTTCTTAGAGAAATACTATAAAGTGATCCGAAATTATCTTTCTCCTCTAGTGGATTTCCTTAATGGCATTTGTTCTTGAAGTTGTTAAGTTTATTCTCCTAGAACAATCTCTTGATTGTGTATAGGGAATTTTGTAATATTGTCTTGATCCGAAATTGCTTCTTAAATAAGATCTAAGCAAGAATTTATCCTCGGTCTTGATCATTGTCAATTGTAACAGAAGAATTCTTCCTCCAAGACAAAATCATTAACCTTATAACCTTATCTCCCCCCGACGCAAACTCTACATCCTCAAGGAATCAGACATTTCCTGTTTCGAAAATTAACTTAATAGAGGGATCTTTAAAAAAAAAAAAATTTGTTACTCCTTAACAATTGCTTTATTTGAAATTTTGTTGAAAATTTAAGGTGCAATCTTTAGTGTTCTACCTAGAGAGATTCTGATGTAATGTGTGACGATTCCACATTCCTATAAGAAATTAGCAAAAGGTTCCTAACATTGTTCTCCTGATCTGTTATATCATCATAGTATTCACCACTATGGTAAGATCTGACTTGTTAAATTCTTTTACAGAATTGTTTTTCAACTTGAGCCTTGTATGCCTTGAACATGTCTAGTGTTTGGAATTTCTCATAAATGAGATATAGGTAGCCATAGTGAGAAAAATTCGTCTATGAACATAATATATTATTATTGACCATTCCAAGAAGTCGACTTCAATGGCCCACAGATATCTGTATGAATTAGTTCTAAGACGTCCGAAGTAGGGCTTATGTTTGTTTGTTTTCCCTTAATGTAATTAACATAAACACTTAAATCTGAAAANTATATGTTATCAAATGTAGATAATAAACCAGTACCAATAATATTAGAATTTAAAGAAAGACTAAACTGATTGTTTCCAAATGAACAATAATAACCAAATTTGTCCAACAAAGAAACACAAACCAAATTCCGTCTAAAAGACGGTACCGCAAATATTTCTTTCATATTCAAATATAACCAGACTGCAATAATAACCTAAAAGTCCCTATAGCCTCAAGTTTATCTAATTTGTCATTGCCCCAAACTTTTGGTTGTTCAGGCAATCTCGCATAGATGCACTTATGTGTGTGGTGGCACCAATATTTTATCCACTAAGTGCGTCTAGGTATTGAAACTAAATTAACCTCAAAACAAGCCAACGTGAGAAGTGTACTTTTCTTTACACGTCAAGCTAGTATTTAGTACAGTTTCTCTGTATGTATCCCAAATTTTCACAAAAGTAACAGCCAGATTTATCATTTTCAAGCTTTCACTGTTTATTTTGAACCGAATCGGATGTAACTTTCTAATTCTTTATAACTTGTCCTTAGAGGTACTTGTCAAGTAAGTAATATCAGTTTTATCTGGCTTTAACCTTTCTTTTTCTTATACACAATATGTAATGAGCTCATTAAGACTCCAATTTCCCTTTTAACAGTTGTAATTGAACTTAAATTAGCCGAATTGTGTAAGAATATAAATCAAAACTAAATGCATGAGCAAGTAATTAGATAGCTCAACTTTTAATGCTTTTAGTTTTGAAGTAAGATGAGACATCTCCATGATGTACTCCCTTATGTTTTCTTTACCCATATACTTTAGTGAAATTAAGTTTGCTAAAAGCGTGCTAGTTCCAGCTTTATTTCCTTTTACAAAGCTTTTTTTTTTCAATTTCATCAAGAAACTCCTTGCCAGTAGTTACATTATCGGACACAATGTCCCTAAATGCTGCTGGAATTTCACGTTTCATGATCATAAGACTTATGCAGTTTGAATAATCCCACTTATCCAAATCCTATTTTTATTAGCAGCACTTTTACCCATAAGAGTAGTGGGTTGTTCACTCCTAAATGAAAGGTCAAGATTCATGCCGCCAAGAACGATATAAACGTTTTCTTTCCAGCCCTTAAACTTTGGTTTTAACACATGAATTAAATTGATGTTGGCAGATAATGAAGAAGTTGATGGATTAACTAAAAAGAGAACTTAAACTTAATTAACGTGTTCACATAGGAATCCGTATTGGACAATTAATAATTTCAAATAATGGTGAACCCCATTATAAAGACCGAACACAATATTGATATTTAGCATTTGGACTGAAATACCAACTTGTAAGTGGCACTCTTGGTGTAGTAATCAAATATTGACAATAAATCGATCAAACACCAAGTTTATCTTTGGATCGACTCAATAATCACATAGTAGAAAAATTTACAATTGTCACATATTTATCACCACAGGTGTAAATAGTTCGGCCAAATATTAACCTTCATTTGAACCGATCAATACCCGCATGAATTACATACAAAAAACATTCCTAACATTCCAAATAAATTAATTTAAACGAGAGATGTTACTTTGGTAACATGTTGTTTCAACTAATCTGTTTTAGAAAATTAGTAATCTGAAATAAATATTAAGTACCAAGATTTGAAATTGATTCCCTTAATCCTTATCTTTTATTTTTATTTATTTATTTTGTTTTGACAAAAAAAAAACTTTCGGCGCTGCAACAATAGAAACCTAGAGCCCTTTGGACTTTAACGGTTTCCTGAAAAATGGGATTGGATGGACAATTAGGCTAATTTTAACTTTTATCCATTAATCAATATCAATTCATAATATTCCAACAATTAGGTCACACCCACCCAGCGGACAAAGGCTTCTGTTTTGACACATAATGAATGCATTGAAGTCTTCAAAACAAATCTCAACCGTTCGATTAAAATCATCCAATTTTCCAAAAAATAAAAACAAATCTGAAATTAAAAAAAAAAATCCTAAAATCTAAAATCTTGAAATTTAGGGCTAAATCTCACATCCCAAAATTGAGAAAGCTAAAGTATGAATTTTAACCCTAAAATTCGTGATTCTTAAAGGTTTGACATGAAGTTGTTTCTGATACCACTTGTTAAAACTTTATGAAACTTTAAATTTTAAAACTTGAAAACCTAATTATTTTATTGTCAAATCTTCCATATCAAATTATCAAGAAAATTAATAATGCGGAACATATATTAATTTTTTGGGAATAATTCTTTAATAATGGATCTTGAATCTTAATTATTGGTTCTTTAGTTTTTGAATTCTTGATCTTGATTTTGGTTTCTTGCTCCATAATCTTGATTGTTTTATTCTTCGATTTAATTGCTCAAATCTTTCTTTTTGATTTTTTTAATCCTTGTTTTTGATTGTGAGTTTTGGATATTTATCTTCAATACGTTTTCTCTTGTATTCTTCTGTTGATGAGATGACATAAAGAATGAGAAGTTGCATATGAATTGAAGACCATAACCCTATTTATAATTTTCATATGTTTTTGGCACATCGTTCAGTACAATCCTAACGGATCCGGTCTCTACATATATAATCCAGTACACACTTTATTTACATGCCCTAAGTCTAACAATTTAATTCTTTATTAAATCACTTTAATTATGCTCAACTTTAAGATAAACTTATACACAATTAATTACATATGTAGGCTCACTTGACAAATTAATAAACACAACAATTTCTAAATAGCTCACAACAACCCGATTTAATAAACTTCGGTGGTCTGCACTCAAATAAAAAAGATAATAAGATAAAACAGTATTAAAAGTTACTTTTAATTACATCTTGATAATCTGTGGCCAATGGTCCCAACTTGCTTTTCCTTAAACTTCTTCAATTCCTAATGGTTGAAGGCTTTTATTGTGAATATGGTCCCCTCAATGTCTTTCTCCCCATTTCCCACAATTTCTCGAATCAGATAGCTGAGCAATTCCATCTCTACGAGAAAAAAGGAAAAATACAAGACTGAATCACGTTGATTTCAATAGAATATCAATAATCTATCCATCAAGACTCGTTCATTCAACCCAATAACGAAAATTGGGTTGAAATCAGAAGCCAGGACCTCTTTCACTTAAAGCAAATACTAAGATTTCATTCAAGATTTCATATAAATCTTTGGTCCAAGTAATTGAACTACAGCTAGATCAGTTCTTGCTCTCGCTTTCAGTTATTCCATAGTATCTTGAGCCAGTTGATTCATAATATTACTGTAGGAGACAGTTTACGTAAATCCTCTTTGCTTAGGTACAGTTTAACATAGTGAAACAGTAGGCAAAGGGAGATAAGTTCAGGTCCTGAAGTTACCATTCATTATTGAAAATTGTACACGTAATTGAGGGTGCGTGTTGATTAACTATAAGGTGATTCAACAGTTATTTTGCACAATTTGACTACTCTAGATAATCGTGCAGTTGAACGAGACAATACATGAACATCTCATTTCCGCCGTATTAGCCTGACAATCATTATAAAAGAGAGATTGAAGAAAAATAATATTTTGAATAATGATTTTTTTTGTAGAATGTTCATTAAAAAGTAGGAAATTTTTTTTTGCTTTGTATGTAAAATCTTTTATTGTGTGATTGTGTGAAATAAAGAGTTTCGTTTTAATGGGAGTTAAATATGGTCATTTAACTCCCAAAAAATAAATGAAGCATTAAATAGTTCGTCTAACCAACATTCACAACCCCAAAATCAATTTTCCTTCCCATTATTTCATGGATTATACAAATTAGTTACACCTAACTTGTCATAAGCTATATATTATCCCACCCGTCCTCAATAATTATGATCATCTTCATCAATTTTCTGTGCCAACTTCAAAATCTCAGATTTTAAGTTCATCTACAAAGACTAAATTAAACACCAAAACAGATTCAATCTTCAAACATTATACAATATTGATTCGACTTATAAAGTCCATTGAAAATCTATGAAAAAAAAGATTGGCGTTATTGAAAATTGATGACACGAGCATTGGCCTAGTGAAGTTGGTGATAGAATTGTTCTGAAGGAGTACCAAAAACATTCTCCCATTCTGAAGTTTCAGTTCCCTCCTCCAGCATCATCTCCTTGTAACGGCATTCGCTGCTGCAAAATGCTTTCTCACCTCTGAAGAAAGATCAAACAAATGTGTAATAACAGTAAGCGATAAGAAACAATTAAAAGCATCATGAACTTAAAGCAAAATACAAAACCAGGAGATCCCAGAGTTGCTTTTCTGTGAAGTATGTCCAAAAATTTTGCTTTTAAGCACAGCCAAACATGCAAGGCTCCTATCAATTGAAACTTTTTGACATATGAAAGATTTAACAATTTTTGAATCCAATATAAACAATTAGTAATTGACATGAATCAATCTAAGCTAACCTGTACATGTAAATGTCTTTCCCTTGTCCAATATTCTTCTTGCAACTGTAGCAAAAGCTGAGGAAATTCTCAGAGGAATAACTCATTGATCGGTTCGAGAAAAATCCAGTTTGTTTTCTCGATTCGGAGAGCTTTACAACTCCACAGTAGATCTCAACAATACAATCATCAAAAATATGAGTAGTCTTCGGATTAGGACCATGTGATATCACACACGTATAGTCCTCCAAAAGCTCAATTTCACTAGCAGAAAGGCTACTAAAAACACCAGAATTCAAAGAACCAAATGGAGATTTCTTCACGGGAGATGGTGATAAGCTACACGAGAATGTGTTGTAAACTTTACATGCATAGAATAAATTTTCCAGAATTGCTTAAAAACAGATTGACAATTGCAGAATAGTAAGAAAAAAATACATAAACACGAGCAGAATTTGGAATAGGGATGATCGAGGTGAGAACTAGGCTCTCTATTTTTAAGACGTTTTTACCCTGTCACACGGTGCTTACGGTATGTGGTAAAGCGTCTCCCAAGATACAATGCTCAGACACTTGCAAAAGCAGCACTTCGACTGCAAGACAACNGTTTAAATAGATGAGAGAGTTGACGGTTGAACAGTTTCCATACAACTCACCACTCACGCCCACTTAACGCACAGTTTTTGGAAACTGTCTACACTCATGCCCACTTAACGCACGATTTTTGCAAACTAATGGGGTAGTTAAAGAGAGGGAATTAATTGAATTCGAATAAAAAAAATTTAAATAAATTTTATCCAAAAAATTAATATTGACACAGGCCGAGCCCAAACCCACGGCCCATGACCCAAGCCCGAGCCCGTACTGTGCCAAGCTGAGCCGGCCGGTCGGACGGAAGGCGGCGGCACGCGCGCGCTTGTGGCCTTGGATTAGTCTAGACTTTGTCAAAGACTCCCCCCTTTCAAAGACTACCGGTACCCCCTTGGGGCCCAAACCCATTTCCAAACTTGAGGTTTATTAAATGGTTCCAGGTTGTGTTTGCAATCTATGTGAGATTAGAACATTTTTTCAATTCTTTCCCATTTATTCCTCTTATTTATTGTCCAACTTTCTACCAAAATTTCTCATTCATATTGAAATGGTTTTTCACAATTAAATATTCTACATTCATCTATTTGGAACGCAGAATTTAATTGAACATTAATTTCGATAAATCGAACATTGGGTCCTACTTAAAATTGTGGTCAAAGTTGACCCAATTGACCTACCATTTCCAACATTCCCCCACATGAATGGAAATTATCATGACTATGCGATGCAGACACGAATAAAGAGTACTGGAGAAAGACTTATTGCATCAGGGGAGGTAGTTTTTGGCTTTGAACCTGCCTTAGTGGAATACTATCGAGTTTACTTAGCTAATCAGTGAATTGATGTCTTGAACTGTTCAGTCGTTGGTGTAAACCAAGGCAACAGTATCCACACAATAACCTTTCTATTTAATTCTTAAGTTCTCATAGTTATGTTCATTTTGGCACTGAACAATTCTTTGGATTCATAAGTGCTTTAGAGAATTTTAAGCCCCCAAATTCTCATAGAAGCGGCCCCACTTCACATTTATATAGGTGATATCCTATTAAGAGTATTCTGCTATACTCGACTTGGTTTATCTAAGCTATAGAAATCATTAAAAGTTACAACTTAACCTTTTACATTTTGCATACAGTACTTTTATAAAGGGATGGTTATGTGCTTAATTGAGTCCTAATAACTTAGTTGTCCCATTGAACCAAGATCTTGGGATCTCCAGTCAACAAGGTTGGGTTACCATCATTAAGATTCATGCATGTTCGGCTTTAGTCTCATTCCTTTTGATAGATAATATACTTGATCTCTTGGTAGACCTTTCGTAAGCGGATCCACGAGATTTTCCTTTGATTTCATATAATCAATGGAGATAATACCATTTGAGATCAACTGATTTATGATATTGTGTCTACGACATATATGTCTAGACTTACCATTATACATGCAATTTTGTTCCCTTGCAATAGCCGACTGATTGTCACAGTGAATACTAATTGCAGGCACCGACTTAGGCCAACACGGAATATCCTTTAAGAAGTTACGAAGCCATTCTACTTCTTCTCCAGCTTTATCTAATGCTATAAACTCTGATTCCATTGTTGATCGAGCATGCAAGTTTGCTTTGAGGATTTCCAGGACACATCCGCACCACCAAGTGTAAAAATATAACCACTTGTGGATTTAGAATCTTTTATATCAGTATCCAATTTGCATCACAATATCCTTCTAATACTGCTGGATATCTCATATAATGTAATCCAAATTTTAAGGTATGTTTTAAATATCGAAGTACCCTATTCAATGCCTTCCAGTGATCATTGCTTGGATTACGTGTGGACCTACTCAATTTATTAACTGCGAACGCAATAGCAGGACGTGTGTAGTTCATTAAATACATCAAACTTCTAATAACCTGAGAGTATCTTAATTGATGTACAGGTTCACCTCTATTTTTTGCTAAGTGTAGACTCCTGTCTACCGGAGTTTTGACTGGACTTTCATCAAAGACTCCAAATCTCTTTAGCACAGACTCAACATAATGAGATTGTGAAAGAATGAGGCCATCTGGTGTTTTAGAAATTTTAATTCCAAGAATTACATATGCTACACCCATGTCCTTCATGTCAAAATGTTTTGTTAGCATTTCCTTAGTAGACACAATGATATTATGATTTCTACCTAGAATTGGCATATCATCCACATATAAACATACTAAGACATATGCCTTCGGTTTACTCTTATTATACACACATTTATTACACTCGTTAATTTTAAAACCATTTGACAATATTGTTTTGTCAAACTTTTGGTGCCACTGCTTTGGCGCCTGTTTTAATCCATATAAAGATTTAACAAGTCTGCAAACCTTTTTCTTTTGTCCATGAGCGACAAATCCTTCAGATTACTTCATGTATATTTCTTCTTCCAACTCACCATTTAGAAAAGCTGTTTTAACATCCATTTGATGAATTTCGAGATTATATATCGCAGAAATTGCAATAAGGATTCTTATCGAAGTAATCCTCGTTACTGGTGAATAAGTATCAAAGAAATCAAGACCTTCCTTTTGTCTATATCCTTTTGCTACCAAACGAGCCTTGTACTTATCAATATATCCATCCGATTTTAATTTTTTCTTTAAAATCCACTTGCAACTTAGAGGTTTATTTTCATTATCGATTCAATTTCACTATTGATAGCTTCTTTCCAAAAAGGAGCCTCTAGTGTTGATATTGCTTCACTGAATGTCTTTGGTTCATTTTCGATCATGTACGTTAGAAATTCTTAACCGAAGGACGTAGACTTTCTAGCCCTTTTACTGTGTTTGAGTTTCTCTTCATTTTCATTATCATTTACGGTATCGTAAGTTCGTTTTGTTGAACTTACATCACTTTTGTCTTTATCCGAAAGACATCTTCGAAGAAACTTACATTCCTTGATTCAATTATTGTATCTTCATGTATATCTTGAATTTATGCACAAGAAAGCAATATGCACTACTGTTATGAGCATATCCAATAAATATGCAATCTACAGTTTTTAGTCCTATTTTTATTTGTTTAGGTTTTGGCACTTCTACCTTTGCCAAACACCCCCACACTTTCAAGTATTTATATGAAAGTTTATGACCTTTCCATAACTCGTAAGGTGTTTGATCCTTTACTTTGTGTGTAATTTTGTTAAGAATGTGGTTTGCCGAGAGGATAGCTTCCCCCCACAAATTCTGTGGTAGACCAAAACTAATCAACATAGCATTCATCACTTCTTTAAGCGTGCGATTCTTCCTTTCCACTATACCATTAGATTAAGGTGAGTAAGGAGCCGCTGTTTGATGAATTATGCCTTGTTGATAAGAAAATTCTTCAAACGGCGCTCTATATTCTCCATCTCTATCACTTCGAACAATTTTTATTGTTTTGCTAAGTTGATTTTCAACCTCATTCTAATAATGTTTAAACATTTCCAAATCCTCATCTTTGCTTCTTAATAAATAAACATAACAGTACCGAGTGCAATCGTCAATGAAAGTAATGAAATACTTTTTCCCACCTTTAGTTTATACGAATTTCAAGCCACATGTATCTATCAACGGAAGGAAATGGTCTTTTGGCTAACTTAGCCTCAACACAAGTTTCACATTTGTGATTATGATCGAAACTTAAAGAAGGTAGCAAATTAAAGTTCATTAATTTGCACACTGATTTAAAGTTTGCATGTCCTAATTTTTTATGCCATACACGAGAAGATTCAACAATATACGCAGAAGTATAAGCTTCATTAATCTTGTTCAATTTAGATACAATAGTAAGGACGTTCATCTTGAACATCCCATCTGTCATGTAACCCTTTCCAACGTACATCCCATTTTTAGTTAGTAAAAATTTTTCAGATACAAATACTAACTTAAACCCATTCTTGCTAAGAAGAGAACTAGAAACGAAATTTTTCCGAATGCCCGGCACATGCAGCACATTGTTGAGGACGAGTTCCTTGCCATATGTCATCTTCAAGGTCACCTTTCCTTGTCCTTCAACCTTTGAACTTGAGGAATTTCTCATGAACAGTTGTTCTCCATCGATAGTTTTGTAATCAGAGAACACATTCTTTTTAGCACAAATGTGGGGAGTAGCACTAGTATCCACCCACCATTCCCTGTGATTTCCCACACTATTACATTCAGATACTACAGCAGATAAATGCATTTCTTGAACACCTTCAGTCAGATTTTCAGTTTCAACAATATGTGCACGGTCATTTTGCTTTTTTGGCTTGCGATAGTCAATTGCACGATGTCCAGGGTTGCCACAATTGAAGCAGTCCCCTTTGAACTTCTTGTTCTTCTGGTTGTTTTCATATTTCTTTGAAGCAAAGTTTGGGTGCTTCCTTTTCATGTTCTTCTTTGAACTTGATTCAATCATGTTTACCTTAGCTTCCATGCTTGATCCCCCGTTCCTCCTTTCAGATTTCTTAGTATCTTCTTCGATCCTCAAACGGACAATCAACTCCTCTATGTTCTTTTTCTTACGTTTGTGTTTGAGGTATTTTTTGAAATCTCTCGATGAAGGCAGGAGTTTTTCAATTACTACTGCTACCTGGAATGACTCACTTACAGTCATTTTTTCAGCATGTAAATCATGGAGGAGTACCTGTAAATCTTGAACTTGGGAAATAACAGATTTAGAGTCAATCATTTTATATTCCAAAAATTTACCGACAAGAAATTTTTTAGATCCAACATCTTTAATTTTATATTTTTTCTCTAAAGATTCCCATAGTTCTTTTGTAATTTTCATTATACTATATACACCATATAGCGAATCATTCAGACCATTCAATACATAATTTTTGCATAAGAAATCAGAATGTTTCCATGCGTCTAAGGCAATAATCGAAACTCGATTATTTTCTCCTTGTTGAACAGAAGGATGATCTTCCATGAAAAACTATGCCAGGTTCAGAGTAGTGAGATAGAATAGCATTTTCTGCTGCCATCTCTTAAAATCGACCCCATTAAATTTTTCAGGTTTCTCTCTGTGAGGAATATGAGTTGAAGAAGAAGGACCAGCCATATTTGGCATCACAATAGGGGTCACATCCACAGTATGGAGAATTGTATTAGTCCCTACAGTGTTAGCCATTTCTATTTTTAAAACAGAAGATCAACAAGTCAGAATTTACAAATATAAATTCTATAGAATAGTTTTATCGTACAAGAATCTGCAATGTTAGAAATAAGTAAGTTCAATTTTGAAAAACTGTATGAAAACGTCCTAAGATTGTTGTAAACGTTACGTGCATAAAATAAATTTTCTAGAATTGCTTAAAAGCAGATTGACAATTGCAAAACAGTAAGAAAAAAAATGCATAAACACGAGCAGAATTGGGAATAGGGATGATCGAGACGAGAAAACTAAGCTAGAGGTCCTTAAGACGTTTTTACCTCGTCACACGGTGGTTAAGTGGTAAAGCGTCTCCCAAGATACAATGATCAGACACTTGCAGAAGTAACACTTCGACTGCATGACAACGAACCAGAACTGAAAGTACTCTCTATAGACTAATGCAGAAAGGAAGAGAATGTATGCAGAATGAATTCGTGAATTTTCTATATTTTTGATGAAAGTCTGAGGACCATTTAAATAGATAAGAGAGTTGACGGTTGAGCAGTTTCCATACAACTCACCACTCACACCCACTTAACGCACAGTTTTTGTAAACTGTCTCCACTCACGTCCACTTAACACACTGTTTTTGCAAACTGATGGGACAGTCAAAGAGAGGGAATTAATTGAATTCGGATACAAAAAAAATTTAAATAAATTTTATCCAAAAAATTAATATTGACACAGACCGGGCCCAAGCCCACGGCCCAAGCTCGTGTCGTGCCGGCCGGACGGACGGCGACGGTGCGCGTGCACGTGTGGCCTTGGATTAGTCTAGACTTTGTCTAAGAATCCCCCTTTTAAAAACTATTGGTACCCCTTGGGGTCCAAATCCATTTCCAAACTCGAGGTTTATTAAGTGGTTCCAGGTTGCGTTTGCAACCTATGTAGGATTGGAACATTTTTCCAATTCTTTCCCATTTATTCCTCTTATTTATTGTCCAACTTTCAACCATAATTTCTCATTCATATTGAAATGGTTTTTCACAATTAAATATTCTACACTCATCTACTTGGAAGGTAGAATTTAATTGAACATTAATTTCGATAAATCGAATATCGGGTCCCACTTAAAATTGTGGTCAAAGTTGACCCAATTGACCTACCATTTCCAACAGAATGAACCTAATTGAGAATTCTTAGTCTTGATGCCAAAATCACTAGGTGACCTCGGCGAATCAGTTGGAGAAAAAACAGAGGGAGGCAAGGGAAGGACTTGAATCTTCAACTGTGAACCAAAGAGCACCATTCTGCTTTCGGGTTTTGATAAATTCAAATCTAATTTCTCATCTATGAGCGCAGCTATTAAGCCAAGACCAAGCCCTCTTGAATTTAATTTCTTCCAATTATGTTCCCTAGTTTCAATGTTAGCTAGCAAAAATCCCGTTTGAGACTAAACCACTGAACAACCTAGGAAAACTAAAAAATGAGGATCCGGGCTTTCTACAATTTTCCCTACTTCCAAGATTTTCCTCAGTAATGATCTCTCTATACAACAAAAAAAAAAAAAAATCAACTTTCCACTTCATACATAAAAATCATCCCTTAAACATATAAACACAGAATATATATGTGTGTGTGTGTGTGTGTAAATGGAGAGAGAAAGAGAGAGAGAGAGAGAGTCCACACCATAAATTGTCTAATGGAGAAACTGACAGCAAATCCCAGTTTGAAGGTCCAAAACTCCGGGAAAAGCATTGACATTTTGGTGAAAGATCAGGGACGAACTATTTAATTCTAAGAAAGATTCATTCTTTTATTTTAAAAAAAAAACACTTATAAGTATCCAAACCAACTTGTAATTGCAGAAAAATTAAGAAGCCATGAAAGGAAGATGGTTTTAACTTTCTTCCCCGAATTTCACGTAATTATTCTCTAATTTTTACAGCAAGAATCCTTTACCCTCTCACAACTGACAAACAATTTTCCCTCAATTGTCATAATCGGTGACTGACAATAACACATACAAACAAAGAAGATTACATAGCCTATAATTTTTTCTCTCTTTTTTCCCTCTTTTTGTTTGTTTACTTCTCGGTATTATTTCAGCAAAAACGTACAGTTTTTCATCATAAAGATTCAAGGTCTCACATGCAGACAAGGCCTATAAATCAAGAGTACCTGAAGAAAAAAAATCATTGTTTACTGCTTTCCTTTTCTCTCTCCTTTAGTAGGCGTTCTTTTTCTTGGCCTCCCACTAGTTTTTGTTTTGCTCACGTTTGAGCTCTGTGAAATGAATTTCACACCCATAGAGTTGCAGAAAAATGTTGTGTGAAAAAAAAGCACGTGCGTTATATGTTTCATAGAGAGAGAGACGGGTTAGTGAAATTCAGTAGATTGGATGAATTTGAATCTACAACCCTCTCCCATACTCCATAAATGGCAGTTTTCTCATCACTGGTTTTTTGCCTCAGGAAACTTCCTAGTTTCTTGATTGACGCCTTGCACTCTGTAGAATCTCTCTCTCTCTTTCTCTCTCTCTCTCTCTCTCTCTCTCTCTCTCTCTCTCTCAATGTGCGTGGGAGTGTGTGGGAATATAAGAAAAAACACCATCCCTTCCCAAACCCCCATCTATAGGCTACTAGCTGACGGCATACTAGTGTCCTTGATTTGTTGACACTCGGGGCCACCGAGCTACGGCCACAGCCACAGTCACAGTCACAATTATTAACCATGATTAGCTTTATAGTAATATAAATTGATTCGGGCAAAGCGAAGCTATCGGATTAGCTCCCATCGACTATTTGGCCCTCTCATTTGTTTAGATATTTGGGAAAATTGTAGCCACTTATCAAACATTTTATTTAATACCAATCTTTACTCAAAGTTTTTATTTGTGCCACTACGAGTATCAAACCTTCAAAAAAATTAAAACTTAAGTCCAAAATAATGATTTCCGTCAATTTGACTACAAAATCGTCCATTGACTACAAAATAAAAAACTTAGTTATTTTCCTCAAATAAGGCAAAGGCATTTTGGATAAACAACATTTCTCATATTAAATCAAAAATTAAAAAACAAAAGGACTCTAAATAACAAGAGTAAGCAAAATCAGGTAACTAAATGGAGTTACGAATATACTAAGGATATCGAGGAGGGGGAGCAGAAACATGATCAACAATCTCAGGCAGTGCTTGGGAGACCATAGAGAGAGGAAGGATATCATAAGTCGGTGCATGTGTCCCTATAGAAAATGAAGGATCAACAGTATATGGGGTGCGGAAAGGTGAGCTATCACTATCAACGGAGAATGGATCAATACGAATAAGGTCAGACTTAGTCAAGTCATGAGACTTAGTCAAGTCATGAATATTTCAGAAATAGAAAAGAATGAGATATATTCAAGAAACACAACATGGTGAGAAACATACAATTTTTTTTAATTGGATCAAAACAGTCATAACCCTTTTAGCCTTGTCCATAACCTACGAAAACACAAATAGTAGAACATGATGTCAACTTACTACGTTCTACTTCAGGACGAAGGATGAAACAAGTACAGCCAAAGACTCGCAATGAAGAATAATCAGGCAAATGCCCAAATAACGTTTCAAATGGTGATAAATCTTAAATGTTGGAAGATGAAATCTTATTAATTAAGGAAATAATAGTGAGAACTGCTTCTTCCCAAAATTTACTAGGAATTTTGGAAGACAAGAGCACAGAACAAGCAATTTCTATAATGTGCCTATACTTTTGTTCAACAACACCATTTTGTTGTGGGGTGTTGAACACGAGATTTGATGAGTTGTGTCATTAGAAGCAAGCAATTATAGGAAATCAGAAGAAGTATACTCTTCACCCAAGCCACATCTAAAGCACTTAATGATAGTCGAGTGTTGAGTTTTAGTAAGTATTCTAAAAGAACGATAAATAGAAAGAAAGTAAAAATATCGTTTCATAAGATAAACCCAACAATAACAAATATAATCATCAATAAAAGACACATAATATCGAGACTCTCCTTTTGTATCAATGGGAACAGGTCCCCACACATTAGAGTGAACAAGATCAAATGGTACAATAAAACAAAAAATACTTCGAGGAAAAGGTAAAACATAAAATTTAGCTAGTTTACAATGGTGTGTGCTGTCGTAAGCACCCAAAAGTAATACTTTATCCTCTAAAACTAATATAGCAATGGAAGTAAGAGTCGATCTCACGAAGAGTGTGTAATTCAATATTTTATGCTTCGTACAATGATTAGGACGGGTTTTGTATGCAAACAATTGTAAATAATGCAATCAATAACAATGAAAATTAAATTAACGAAAACGATTAAAAGACTAACCTTGGTTTAAGTCCACATCCACCGTCGAAAATCCACAATTGATCATAGATGCAAGGATAATTCAATTCATATTTCGAATATTCACCGTTGGAATTAATTCATATTTCTCCTTAATTTTAATTAGTTAGAAACCAGCATTCTAACTAACCCTAATTATTAAATAACCCCAGACCAGCGCTCAAGATTCAATTTAATAACAAATTTACACAATAGAAAAATCAATGAACTAGATAACACAAACACTAGCGGTTGCATTCAATCTATTTAAACATTCTTCTTAAGACTTAATAACCTCTATCACAGAAAATCACCAAATTCTAGTGCTTCACAAGTTAAAGGAATCAAACAATTATGGATTTGATATTTAACTTAGCGATAGATTGTAACGAATAACAAACTAGTAGGCCTCCTAACAATTAAACATAACAATCATGAAAATAAGTGCAGAAGAATATTCAATACGCAAAATAAGAATTAAATAATAAGAAAAACTATTTAGATCTCACAATATGTGGTTCCGAGGCTTCACTTTCCTTCGACCAAGTGTAAAAGTTTAGTTACAATTCATGAATCTAAGAGAGAGATAATGAAGAATGGAGTTTGGAGGCGTTCTCCCTTAGTTTTGGACGAGTTTCGTCCAAATACCCTACCATAAGAGATTGGTTCGAATAAGGAAACCAGAAAATTCGCACCCATAATGAACCATGCGACTGCATGGTATAAACCCATGCGATAACATGGTTATAAAAATTTTGCACCGTTCATCTCCTGTTGATGATTGGGCGACTACATGAACTTTCTACCATGCGACTACATGGTAGAAATTATTTTCCACTTGGTTACTTTAATCCCCAAAATTTATTTCATTTACCTTTTGGCCTTACTTCATTCTCCTTCTTCTTCTAACATTCCATGATATTACAGTAACATCTTCTGAATAATTGTATTTTGGTCCCCGAAGTTTCATTTTCTTTCAAATTACGTCATATTCATAGAATTGCCACCTAAATCAAAATATTAACGTAATAAGTACATTTTGCCACAAAATAAACATACGAGCGCATAAAATAAGGAGGGAAAAATATGCATTTTACATTCCTATCATACAACCACTACAATCAGAAATGTCATGAATTTGCAAATCTCCCAATTGATAGAACCAACACCTACTAAGGGCAATGGGATGCCATCAGCAGTCATAATAGACATAGACGAGTTAGAAGAGCGCAAGTTATTAAAGAATCTTGAATTAGATGATATATGTTTAGAAGTACCAAAGTCAAAATCCATGAGGAAGAAATACCTGAGGAGCTCTGGGATGGCAAAACTATACGAGTAGAGGCTGACATAGTATGTGGATATGTGGCTAAGAACTTCTGAAATTGCTATGCTAAATCAGTTAACATGGGATTGAAGGAAGGTTGTGCTCCAAGCATAGATAAGTCACCAGGTGGAACGGTGTTCGCGAGAAACCCGCAAGCGTATATGATTGTTGTACAACTGATAAGATTTGTGAGTTAAGAGTATCATTCTCATGAGAAATAATATCTAATTTGTAGTTCCATAACTACTATTAAATTCGAAGTGTGGTAATATAAAAAAGAGATGATTTGTATGTAAATATATTAATCCTAAACTAACAAAACAAATGAAGCATTTATTTATTGTGTAAATGTTTGTATTGGAATAGTGAATCCTCCTATTGCCATTTAATTCAATTCATAATCTAGTAAATTCAGGAATTCAATACAATCAATAATCCACTGTTATTCAATATTCTTTTTCAAGATGTATTAAACCTATGCTTAACACGACCCGATCATATTCCTAGTTCGAATTCATATGAAAAACATTCATTGATTCACAGGATTTATCACACTTGATTGCACATGCCATAGATATTATTCTTAATATCTATTGTCCATGTGTTGATTTTGCCGCATTCTAAACTTATTGT